ATATATATATATCTTATTACACGACTCGGGCAGTCAGAGAGCCAATAAATAAAATCAACCAATCAAAATGCTCTATTGCCGGTCAATATTCTCTCAGTATTGGACCGGACACTATCCCGAATGGTCCCGAATGATACCGCACTTGTGTCCCTTTGAACTTCAGTCGTTTAATAAATCTCTTATTAACCAAGCTTGCTCAGGACCGTACTGGAAGAATATTGGCCCTCGGTCTTTTTTATACGTACCTCGCTGCGCTCGGTCCATACTGTCAAGACCTCAGGCCAATATTCTCCCAGTACAGCCCTCGCGCTTGGTTAATAATGAATGTTAATAGTTATATGACAGTGATAAGTTGATTTAATATTGTTGTCACTTCTCCAAATGGAAGGTTATTTGTCTATTCTTAAAAAAAAAATTTTTTTTTTCTTTAGCATCCTCAGGTAGCACCTACTTGTTCTGCAGAATTACCCGGAAAATCTTTTTCTTTTACATGGTCTTCTCAGGTAAAAGGGAATGGTAACTAACTATTTATATCCAGAACTTTAAGTCACAAATAATATGTGAGAAATATTTCAAAGAGCAAAGAAAAAAGAATTGGGGTTATTTTGTGGATTCTTTCCCCTTCTACAGGGGACACTCACTGAACTGACTTAACCATCTTTGCAATTCACAGTGGAAAACTTCATATCTTTCTCTCTTCTGTCTTTTTAAGGGTCAACCTCTTCAGCAGTTATATCATCAATTCCAACAGGTTAGTCCTGAGAAATGACCACATTTAAACTTGTTTTTTTTTATTTACAATTAAATGTTGATTTATTTACAATTAAGGTGTAATGAGTTGTTCTATTGTTGTCTTGCCAACCCATAAGGCTCTCTCTCACTTTGAGGATTTCTGGGACATGCTGGATGAAATAGACAGTAACACATGGGTGCTGGAGCCTGATCATCCATCAAGATCCTGTACAAGCAGAAGAATCACTCTTGGCAACAATGCTTCCATTCAGATAGATCTGAACCCAGCCAACCCCAGGCTTTTGCCTGAGTGTAGATTTATGGGTGCTGACAATGGTATCTTTACACTTTTTTTTTCTTTTCCATTGTATAGTTTTTTTTTTTTATTTATTTAGACTAGTTAAACTATTTTTCCCTACTGATACAAGAAATCTTTTACAGGAATTTGGTTTGAACTTAATAGTTTTTATCTTCTATTTATTTGCCCTCATCAGTAAGATGTTTCTTGCAAATGAGGGAATTTATACTTTATCATGCCATGTGACTGTACTTGCAAACAAGGGTGGTTGCAAGAGAGGTTGTTGATGCTGACAGTAAATTATGATTTTTACAACCTTAACTTTTCACTGCCAAGATCTCATTGCTATTAACAAATTCTCCGCACTGTCTGCTATACACATCTCATAATCATGTTAGTCATGAGAATTTGGTATTAGATCATTTAATAATCTCTTAATTGATATTTTTCTTTATTCCCATCACTTGCCTGCTTGATATTGTATGGATATTTTAAGGAGAAACTCTGTTTTGATCTCCTGTGGTAGTGAAAGGGTCAAAGAAAATCATTATTATTTTGACTCTTGTTCAGGTTGTGAAAACTTCACTCTCTGTCACCGACAACCTCTGCATAGATCAATGCACAAATAACTGAATAAATGGTAGTAATTATTTAGATAACCTTAACTGATGCTCAAAATTAAGGCAATATTACAATTTATTATTTGCAGTGATTGTTCCTTTACGAGAGCATTTGAATACAAATGTCCACGCCTGGTAAGAAAGAAATTAGTTTTATTGAAATTGCAACTCAAGGTAGCTGTAAGAGAAAAGACATTTGCAAGGCTAAGATAGAAAATTCCAATTGCTATTGTACAGAATTGAATTTTCTAACACTTTTGGAGATATGGAAGTCCAAATTGTGAAGGTAAAATATTATTTCTAATGAATCTTGTAGGAACCCACAGTTGACAGTTTTGACAAATCTGGAAAATTTATTGGGACAGAAATTTCCCTCACCTTCCACAACAAAGAAAGAGGTATTACGTAATTTCAAAGATGTTCAATATGTTTTTTCAATATTTATTGATTTTTAATTTGTAGTGTGTTTTGTGTGTGTACTGCAGGATTTCAGCATGGAGTGTGGAATTTGCTATGCCTATCGCCTCAATGATCTGATACCTGACAAAGCTTGTGATGATTCAAGATGTGGACAACCCTTTCACAGCTTTTGTCTTTACGAAGTTAGTGGATCTCTGTCTTCATTATTCATCGATACTTTTTTCTGTTTTTGTTTTCGCAGACTGCATCTAGTGTTAAATCACATATTAATTTACCAGTAGAATCTCTTAATTAGTTGTGCAAAGTAATATGTATTTTGCAATGGCCCACATGCAAGTTTAGGCTAGGATAGCTGATCATTATTTTTCCCCCATGCTTAACATTTTGACCCTTGCACTCCTAGGAATGACCTATAAGTAATAACTTCTCAAAAATTTTACAAGTATATTGGCAACAAAAATGTGATGAGAGGAAAGGAAAACACCAATAAGGGGGTACTGTTTGATGGGCCCCCCAATTACTCATAGCTAAAATTGTAAGAAATGAGTTACAGTATGTGTGGAGAATTTAAATTTAGATCTTAGGATTGAAAGAGTTGAAGGCATAGACTTCAGTTTTGTTGGAATTTATCGTTAAGTATTCTGAAAGCATCAATAGTAGGAGGAGAATAGGGTCATGAAAACAAAAACAGGGTGTCAATTGGCTCTTTCTTTTTGTTTCAGTGGTTGAGAGCCTTGCCGTCAAGCAGACAGAGTTTTAACATGGTGTTTGGGGAATGTCCTTATTGCAGCAAGGTAAGGATCTGATTCAGTTTTGTTTTGTTTTGTGTTTTTTTTTCCTCCAGGACACTACCGGTTTGTGTATTGGTTTTCAGAGTTCTAAAATTTATCAGTTAAAAATGTTAATTAAAATAAATTGGAGCATGTACCTGGGGGCTATGGTAGTAAGAGATGTCTGTAGTTTCCTTCCTGCAATTATCTGAAAGTTATCAGGGGGTGGAGAAAAAGGTATAACTCAAAATTCATGAAAGGACTTGGAACTTTTATCATTAACAGCTGGTTACCCAGCCACAAGCTCCCATTTCAGGCACCCATTGGTGCTGATTGGATCTGCAGAAGAAAAAAGGGAGGGGTGGGATAGACTATAGTCCTCTTTCTGCATCTATGCACATAAGCCCTCGGCCAGGGAACGCCACCGATTTCTGTTGCTTGCCAATTGGTTGAGCTGCCCCCTATATTCAGCCTTTGTCCCCCATTTCCCTTTCTAAGTTCTGCTCTTAGGTTCAATGAGGCAGCCTCTCTTTGGTTGCCATTGCGAGAGTGACTCTGAGCGTTCGGAACACATGGCTGATCCATATTGGTGGGATAAGGGAGTATTTGAAAACAAACACTACAAAGTTTAAGCTGTTTCTTAACTCCTCAAGAACTAAGTTGTAACCAAGTTGCAATGCTTCCTGTGAGCCTGCAATGATGGCTGATCTTGGGAAACCTCCTTTAGCTAGCCCACCAGGTTGTAATTTTGTTTATTTTATCTCTCAGTTAGTATATTGTGCAGTATGATTGATCAATTAAGCCGACCATATTTCACTGTACAGCCTGCTAAATTTAAAATTTTGTTTGAATTAAACTTTTCACCTTCTATTTGAAGACAGAGATATAATTATATTAAATATCTCGGTAACCTTGTTTTCTTGGTCCATGCCACATCTTAAGTTTCAGAACCTATTTTCTTCCGCTCTAATTTATGGCCCGAGTGCTTAGTGCTTAGGCCTTAAACGCAAGTGGAAAAAATTTGGTCCGTAATGTAAAGTTCAGACCTTATACTTGATTTGTAAGAGATATTTATTTTCACCCTCTCATAGATAAATGCAGTAATTCTCTCTTTTCTTTAGCCAATTACTGTCAAAATGGTGTCAGGGAAATGATTTTTCCTCTTGGCTACTGGAAAGGATGAGTAAATTCTGAAGAAATCTTGTAGAACATTGCATTACGATAAGTATTCTTACATGTATGTCCTATGGCATGGCCACAGAATATTTTTCTTATCAAGAGAGGGCAGCAACAATATTATTGTGGTTGTTTGACTTAACACCACTCGTCATGAAGACAAATTGCAGGAACAAGAAGAGAGAAAAATGAAATATCGAAGGAAACAGAAACATTATTTATTTTTCATCAGTCACAGGTGTTTATTTGTCTCCCAAAATGAATAATTCTCCAGAAAATATCTTTCTACATACTTTGGGATTATCAATAAATATTTTAAATTAGTGCAGAATATAGTTATATTACAAGTTTTCAAAAGATCTCATTATGCTGTGAAGGTAATCATTTCACAATAAAGGTTTTAATAGCAAAAATAATGGAATAATGTAGCCTGTTTATGTTTTTAGAAATTAGACTGGGAGACATTATTTGATATTTAAATAAGTTCTAATTGACAGAGTAGCAGGGCTGGACAGGAAAATATTTGGGTTTTGCCAGTGATGTATGATGTATAGACAGAGCTCAGATAGGTTGGTGCATCATTGCTGAAAGCCAAATGTTTTCCAATTGGTCCAACCTTACTAAAGTCAAAAACTCTCTACACTCTTACAATAGCATGCATATTCTCCATACTGTTTTCGATACATTTCCCAGGTGCTGAAAGGGAGAATTTGTTTAACAATCTAGAGCTTCTTTAGTTGGTGATTATAGACCACTTTCATAAATGGCTGCCAGATTAATATTAATTCGCTCTGACGAAGGGCTAACGCTCGAAACATCAGCTTTTATAATCATAATGGTGGCCAATTTACCATTTCAACTTTGTTGATATATTCAAATTATTTCGTTACCCCAACCGATGTATCGCCAAACAGTTTCTTTAGAAACAATCAGCTATTACTCTATGAGTTACACTGGTCACCGGTACTAGCGCGTATACACTTTAAGATCCTATTATTAACTTTTAAAGCCATCCATGGCCTTGTACCCGCATATATTAGCAATCTTTTAGTTATCAAACGCAAGTCCTTGTGCAATCTTAGATCTAACTCAGGTATTTTATTAGAGCCACCTAGAGGCAAAATGCTGGCAACCCTGGGTAAATGTGCATTTCAGGCAGCTGCACCGTATCTATGGAATGAGCTACCATTGCAATTATGCAATATTTGATCTGTGGAAATTTTTAAGAATTCAATTAAGAGTTTTCTATTTAGGCAAACCTTTTAATAGTTGTTAAATTATGAATCCTATATAGCCAATTTAACTGTAATATGTAATTATTTTTTAATTAGATGAGATTTTAATATTTAGAGATATCAATTGTAAAGCGCTATTGATCTGTTATTGTAAATAGTGCTATATAATAAATAAATTATTAGTATTATTATTTTTATTGAACCAGACCGAGCACACTTTCTTACAATTTTGGTAATAAATAGATTATAAGAAAATTCAAATTGAAGGTTGCTCATGAAAATATTATTTCAAAATATGCAATAGCTACATGGAATTTGAGGGTTTGAGGTTTTACTGAGCACCTGCTGTTTGGGAAGTAAGCTTGCACTTCTCCCCTGACGAAGATCCAAGATTACATGGAAGAAAATGATATATATTGAGGCTTAAAAGTTCATGGGCCATTATACAAGCAGGAAGTTTGTAGATTTGAATTATTTTTCCATCAACTTGCTGGTTTAAGTTATTAATTTGTATGTAGAATTTATGAAGATGCTCTGAGATTGATTTGATTTCAAAAAATAAATTCTTCATCTTGTTGGTGTCAGGAATCAAAGAAGTCATGTACATCTCTGAGATTCTCCTGTTCATTTGTTGTATGTTCATTGTTCTGTATATCACGTGGTTCTTCTATACTGCCATCTAACTCTGGGTTACTTTTTCTGACATCAAGATTACTATTTCTGCTGTTTTGGTGAGAGGTGTCCATATCCCAGGATTCATCTGCCAAAAAATTTTTATATATAATTATATAATTCAATCATATACACTATGAAAAGGTTTTTCAGAAAACGTTATTAGTTGGCTCGCCGTTTAGTCACGGTAAAGTCTGTTTACGAGCCAAGTGGCCTGTCAGGCCAGTACTCAATTCTGGTTTCTGTAGCATGAAGTGACTAGGAGTATTTCTACTCCCCCCTGAAAGGGATGCTAGTCCATTGCAGGGTTTTTTGGGAAGATTAGGGACTAGTCTGGGAGAATTTGTTCTAAGCCCCTTACANTCACTTGACTCTGATGATGACTTCCGCACAGGTTGTCGAAACGTCAGTCACTGCCACCGACAACAGTCCTTCTCAGGACTACACTCACCCGGACGATCAGACTACACCTTCACATGTTACCCCCGGGTTCAAACCATTTACTGCAATATTTGCCTCATTAGCATAAGCAATTCAGTTTCTGATGGAGCTAAAAATAAATCAGTTCTGAATATCGAAAGGTCAAAGTACGATTAACTTGGCCAATGAATGCGAGCCTGATAGATTGAATACTTTTTGTGCAACGCGGGTTTAAAAACTCAAAATTTTACAAAGAATGTATGAGCTCATTAGCGCTTTCTCCACCCAGAAATTTTGCAGTTTTTGATGGACTATTTCTCCTTGAATATTACACCCAAAGAGCTAAAAATTTCACCATGTACTGAGGTTTTCTAGCTCTTTAGCTGCCTGAAGTCAATTTGTATCTAACATGCTTCCTTCTTTACGCAAAGCCATTTGCAAATGAGCAAAAATGTCAACAGTGAGGTCAGCATAAATCCGCCTATTCACAACTGGGCCCAGATCTTTAAATGTTTTGTGGTTAGGTGTTCTCAGTAGATGGACTTCATGTGGATCGATAAAAGTCGCAAAACAGACCACAACTGGTTCTTGAACAACTAAGATGAGACAAAAGTAAGATAGAAATTCAACATGATTGTCTTGAATTTCGCACGAACAGGAAAGAGTTTTGGATGTTATTCGTGATGCATGATAAGGCCAAACATTTTTACGTGACTGAGTTTTACAGAGGGGTACAGGGTACTCCCTTGCTATCCCACGCATAAGTGTCTACAAAACATACTGCACTATGAATGGAGATTTATTCGGTAGATAGGGCTCACCAGCCATAGAACAACCAGGAGAATTAAAGGGTAGGCATTAGCTCTCATTGCAGACAGGTGCATTCAAGTTGGGCATGTTTCTGCAAATAGTCTCCACCGCCAGTTTTCTTGTAACTGGCCATGGAGATTAATTATTTGGGGTCCATCCACATTTAGTTCACTAAATCATTAAAAAGAGCAAGGAATTCATTAACCATCATAGACAGGGTGCATTTACCCAGCTCAGACAGATTTTGTGAAAATTTGTTTTCAGATTAAGACTGTAGATCTCTCCAATTCAGCTGATTGCTTATCAAAGTTCAAGTCCAATAAGTGGCTAGGGTTGATTCTGTTTACGGGTGTTGTGGCTGGTACAGTTGTCAAGAAAACAACAGAGAAAGAAGAAACTGAAGTGGCAGGAAACAAAACAAAGTTGTAGCTATCCCCCAAAAGTAGCTGTGCTCACTGGGATAATGAACCACCAAATGTGCTTCTGGAGGTTTGATCATGAGCCACTGTTT